CCTCACAACTGGACCAATAAGCAACATCATGATAAACGGAGAAAAGATTGAAGTTGTCAAGGATTTCATTTTACTTGGATATACAATCAACGCCCATGGAAGCAGTGGTCAAGAAATCAAACAAAATACTGAATTGGGCAAATCTGCTGCAAAAGACCTCTTTTAAGTTAAAAAGCAAAGATGTCACTTTGAGGACTAAGGTGCCCCTGACTCAAGCCATGGTATATTCAGTCGCCTCATATGCACGCAAAAGCTGGACAATGAGTAAGGAAGACCAATGAAGAACGGACGACTTTGAATTATGGTGTTGGTGAAGAATATTGACTATACCACAAACTGCCAGAAGAATGAACAAATCTGTCGTGGAAGAAGTACAGCCAGAATGATTCTTGAAAGCGAGAATGGCAAGACTTCGTCTTATGTATTTTAGATATGTTACTAGGAGGGACCAGTCCCTGGAGAAGGACATCATGCTTGATGAGGTAGAAGGTCAGCAAAAAAGAGGAAGACGCTCAACAAGATGGATTGACACAGTGGCTGCAACAATGGGCCTAAGCATAACAGCGATTGTAAGGATGGTGCAGAACAGGGCAATGTTTCATTCTGTTGTTCATAGTGTCACTGTGAGTTGGAACCCACTTGACAGCACCTAACAACAACAACAACACTGCCAAATTGCTCTCACTAGCAGTGCACAAGGTTCCCTGTATTTCTACATCCATGCTAACACTGTATTATCCAGCTTTCTAATTGTTGCCAGTCTAACCAATTTAAAGTGATAACTCTTGTTTTTAAATGTACATTTCTCTAAGTACATTGATTGCTAAAGCCAAGACTAGGAACTGCTTGAAATACTTAAAACAACCAGCTAGACTCACACCGAGGCAGGCTAAAATAAAACACTAAAAATTGCTGGAGGGGAAAAAAAAAGAACCTGAGAGCCATCTGCTTGTCTTTCCCTTCTGCCTGGGTTGGGGAAGCTCCTGCTCAGTCAAGCAGCTCACCATTACCAAACAGTCTGTGGCCCAGGCTATTTATTCATTTAAAAATAAAATCTAGAAAATGAAAGCAAAAAAAATAAGTATTGTAGGCAATTTTTTTTTTTCTATTCCTATAAGCCCATCATTTTCATCTTTTGCACCAGTGCTTTTTCTATTAGGTCACACACACACACACACACACACACACACACACACACACACACAAACCCTTTGCTGTCAAGTCAGTTCTAACTCATAGCTACCCTATAGGACAGAGTAGAACTGTCCCATAGGGTTTCCAAAGCTGAAATCTTTACAGAGGCAGACTGCCTCAACTTTCTCTGGAGGAGCAGCTGGTCAGTTCGAACTGCTGCACTTTCAGTTAGCAGCAGAGCATTTAACTAACTGTGTTACCAGAGGTCCTTTTCTAATAGATCAGGAGTTCAGAAAACTACTGACTACAGACCAAAACTTGCTCACCATCTGTTTTTTTTTTTTTATTGTACTTCAGGTGAAGGTTTATAGAACAAATAGTTTCTCATGAAACAGTAGTACACATATTGTTTTATGACGTTGGTTAACAACCCCATGACATGTCAACCCTCTCCCTTCTTG